TTTTTTTTGTAACACTATATCTATTTCTGGCACATATTTGCTAGTTCTATATATTTTTTTTCTTTTCCTTTACCCCATGCCTTCTCTAAGGGTATATTAGTTGTTGAATATAAACAACTGTTCTAAATCTTGAGTTCCAAGTCATTAGTTTCATATAACTAACTAAGCTTTTGAAAGGTAGGATACAGTGACACCCTTGGCAAGATGCCATGTGTGCAAAGGTTTGCAGTCTGTTCCAAAAGACATATGCCTCAAATATTATGTCTAAAAATTACTGTCACATGCTAGCTCATAATTTCATTTGGACTAGTGTGCATAGACTTTTATTGACCAATGCTAAATAAAATATACTGGTATTTTTATATCGAAATGTCACCTTAGTTTTCAACATACTGACCAAGAATGCAATCTTGAAAGCAGCTGAAATTCAATTTCCCTGCATTTGAAATCCTTTTAAATATTTTGAACTCTTTGATATTTTTTCAAAGATCCTTGAACCCATTTTGTACATGCTCTCATCTTAACCATTTATTACAAATGCTTTTATGGGAAAACTAGAAGACAGTAAGTTTTGTTCTTGATATTGTGTTCTAGGTCAATAGGACCTCTTTTTGCATACAGAATAATCTCTAATTGATAATTAAAGCCCCTTCACATTGTAGCTTAACTGATCCTTAGCTGACATTCCCTAGTTGACTGGGTATGGACAGGCAGAAACTGTTGGGAAACTATTGATCCCAAAGATACCCTAAGCCACATATAGATAGTGAAACCACTTTGGATTTCATTTGGAAATCTACTTGATAACCATTGCAGTTCTTGCAGCCGAGTTCTGACATGGCAGTTCTATGATTAATCGGTGAGCATTCATGTCACTGCATTATGGATAAGCTACTATTTCTAAGTGGTTTTCAAGGGTAGAGTCAGCAAATTGTACTAAACTTATCAAAAGTTAGCACAGGTATTTTGTACCGTGAAAGCCTATAGTTTGCACACTGGCCATGCACAATTTTGAGGGAGCACAGCTTCTGCAAAAGCCAGATATGCTACAGTTGGCTTGTGACTCAACAGCCATTCCACCTTATTTGGGCTGAGTTTGTGTAAAAGATAAGCCAGGAAATCTACCGTATATTCTGGTGTATAAGACGACTTTTGAGAGCATCAAAACAGCCTCCGAACTCGGGGGTCGTCTTATGCGCTGAGTCGTCTTATACGCCAGAAATAAGGTAGTTTCTGGTGTATAAGACGACTTTCTAGGCATGCGACTCGGCGTCGATCATCTTATACGCCGGAAATAAGGTAGTTTCTGGTGTATAAGACGACTTTCTAGGCATGCGACTCGGCGTCGATCTTCTTGCGACCCGGCGTCGAACTAGGGGGTCGTCTTATACGCCGGGTCACCCTATACGCCGGAATATACGGTATTTAGTTTTCTGAAATCATTGTTGATCATTGGTGCTTAATGTTATAGAAATTCGATGGTCAGAATTGCCCCACTCTCTGATTTCGTTTTTTAAATGAACTTATAGAATCCTGAGCTTATGTATTTGAGGTTGACATGGAGGTGCTAATGTAATGGAGAAAAAAACCTGCAGGTAATTGCAGATAAGTGAAGCATTATTAAATTGAAGTGTATCTGCAAGAAAATGTACATCTGAGAAGGGGGTGAACTGTTTCCCCTTCACATTTGTGATTCCAATTTTTTTTAAAAATGAAAACCTTATAAAATATGGGATAGTGTGTAATGTTGGTTTAGGCTATCTTTACCATGACTGGAATTTGATAAAGATATCTCCAATTTTAACCAAATGATAAAATTAAAAGGATAACAATGTACGAATTTGAAACACTGAGTTGGGTTGAAGTAGTCCAAGCAATAGTTATTGAAAAATAATAGTTGCTATTTCATGTTGGGATTGGATATGCAGTCATATATATTAAAATGATAGAATAAAACTGGAAGATGATATAAAGAATGGGCACAAGTTCATATGATATTGGAAATCAGATTAGTATTAAAAGGCAAAGAAAGAAAACATCAGTATTCATCCTCCTAATTAGATGGAAAACATGACATCAGCTGACCATAAGAAAGATAGCTATGAATAATTGGACTAATTTGTGCTGAAGCTTTGTTCATTTAATTTTTTGGAAGGTACATTTCTGTGATTAGATCCTTTTTTATTATTTTACAGACAGACCTCATAATCCTATGGTGAATGCTGGAGCAATTGTGATCACCTCTTTGATCAAGGTAAAATATGTACAGTGAATATTTCTGACCACTGCACTATAAATAGTTTGTAAGAAATTATAAGCAGAATTAGATTCCATCTAGACATGGAAATTTTCCTATACTGCTTCTTTCAGACTATAGAAGCATGTAGTCATTATCACTTGTGTGCCTCTGAAATTGTTTTCAGTGCTTGTTTTTCAGCTGCCTGTTGCTCCCCAAATTCAAAAAGGAGTTTTGGGATACGGAGCAAGATAAGGTTTAAGGGGAAATGTTGCTGGTATGTTTCTCTTTCTCTTTCCCCACCTCCCTCCCTTTTACGTTACAGTTTGAAAGACTTTCATAAAATCTTAACTGCTTTTGAAACTGGGTTTGATAAAAGTTTCTTTCTTTGAAAAAATTAATATAAATATAACTTTTTAGATTGTGGAATGAAATACTTTGATGTACAAATATATTAGACAAACTTGGGAGTTTTTTTTATAAAGAAAGCCACTCAAAAAGTTACAAATTGAACCTTTTAGCAATTTTAATATGGAGTTTCATATTTTTGTAACTTTATTTTAAGAATGAGTTAGAGTTATGCTTCCATTGAGAGAACTATATTTTCATTAAATAATTCATTTTATATTTCAGTTTATACATTCACCAGATATAAAGTTAAATCCCCTGGCACTTTCTTAATATTAAATATTGGTACTTTTGGAAGTAATATCATTTTTACAATGTTTGGCTTAATAATTAACCGAGTTTTGGGACAGATTTCCACAATTAAAGTATACATACTTTGAATTACAGGTTATTGTTAATCTTTAAAAGTATATATTTATATATATTTATCTATCACTAAGATATCTCAAAAAGAGTTTTTAAAGAACATTATCTCTTCTCTTTAATTTTGTAGTAGAGTAATCAAAATGGAGATTTTAAATATTTGATTACATCATATCCTTATAGCTTTAATTTTGAAAGGCTATTTTAGTTTTGGCTCATGGTTTTCTGCTTCTATGTAAAACAATTCCTGCTTTAAACATTTATCTTTAATAGCTGTAGGTGAAGGAAAATGGCCTTAAATTTGACAGGTAAATTTATTCATGATTATTTTTTTTCTGGAGGTTTAAATAACTTAAAATTCATCTTGACAATGAGATTTTGAAATAAGTGGTAGACAGTTCATCAGACAGCTCAGTGCATTTCTTGTTCACACAATAGTCTTTTATGTACAGTAACTCAATATATCCTCTGAAGTGCACACATGTTTGGAAATTAATTTTATTAAAATTAATGAATTGCCGATCAAATACATATTTTATTGGCAAGCAAAAACCCACTTTAGGTTTCAGGCCATTTCAGTATATTGCAGTTTTCCTTTTTACTGCATGCAGTTGTAATATAAAAACACAGCAACAATGTTACAAGTCAGTATTGAGTGCATTGAAACTTTGCATGTAGTATCTGCATGTCTAGCAGACATAAACCACCATATTGCATTGTTATTTGTTTATAGTGATTGTAAGACATTTATGTGTTCCATCTTCTGGGAAGTTATTTTATAAAAATTGTCTACGAATTGGGAAAATTCAAGGAATTAAAATTAACCTTTCTCATCTTCCCCCAAAGTTGATTTAAGTCTTACTCTCATAAATTAGATCTATTTTGATGTGCTGTAATGATGTGTGACATTTCAACAGCCTCACAAATAAAGTTATAGAACCTAGTAGTCCATTTTCACAGGAAACACCTTTGTAAATCTTCTCTTTTTAATTAATTAGCTGAAAGCATTTCTGTTGTGTTCAAGTATTGGACAAATAACTATTTTTTGTGCATTTTGCATCTTCAATTGAAGATTAAATTCTGGAAATCCAGTAATTTACCTGGAAGAAAGGCAATCTCAAATTTATAACAATCCTTCCCAAAAGAAAGAGTAGACTCTGTGTATGTGCACACATATACGTACAGATACATAAATTCCGTGCAATACCCTGTTTTCCCATTGTATCAACCTAAGGTCCATTTTGTGTGCCCCTCCCTCCCTAAAGCCTTTTTCCAAAAAAGGGCCTAGATCAGGAGAAAACAAAATGAAACTCCCCTACCAATTAAAATTATTTGTAAAAAAAAAATTGGTCATGTATAAAATTGACTTACTGCCATCTGCATATACCATTTCCTCTCTCACACTGAAATTGATATTATACGTGTAGACAAATTATGTTAGGTGAATCTGTGCCAGAAAGCAAAGAGCGAAGCCCTATTTAGTTGTTGGGAAAGGTTAAATGCAAGCCCTCCCTCCTCTCCCCCACCCCCAGCAAGCAGTAGGACAAACTTTAGGCTAATCTCTCCAAAGGCATTAATGTTTTTTAGCAGGAGTTTCTGCTATCATTTGTATCTTCTGCTTTTCATACTTTATTCTGTTCTTATCAGTAGAAAGTGGAAAAATTCCCTCAATTCACAAATTTGCAAGTCTTAATAAGAAATCTGTGGAGTTAGCTATAGATGAAATTCCTAGGTATGCACAAATATTTGATAATAATCCTTACCACATTAGTGCAACTTCTTATTTTTATTTCATGGTAGCTTGTTCAAGCAACTGATATTTGAAAATAGCAAAACAAGGGCCTGTTTAATTCCACTCATTTTGAATCGCAATCCAAGTAGTTTTATACAAAGACTTTGAACGTGAGGAGCTAAATCATACCCACCTATCTGTGGCTCTTTTATTTGTGCGCCAAAGTTGATTTAAGTCTTACTCTCATAAATTAGATCTATTTTGATGTGCTGTAATGATGTGTGACATTTCAACAGCCTCACAAATAAAGTTATAGAACCTAGTAGTCCATTTTCACAGGAAACACCTTTGTAAATCTTCTCTTTTTAATTAATTAGCTGAAAGCATTTCTGTTGTGTTCAAGTATTGGACAAATAACTATTTTTTGTGCATTTTGCATCTTCAATTGAAGATTAAATTCTGGAAATCCAGTAATTTACCTGGAAGAAAGGCAATCTCAAATTTATAACAATCCTTCCCAAAAGAAAGAGTAGACTCTGTGTATGTGCACACATATACGTACAGATACATAAATTCCGTGCAATACCCTGTTTTCCCATTGTATCAACCTAAGGTCCATTTTGTGTGCCCCTCCCTCCCTAAAGCCTTTTTCCAAAAAAGGGCCTAGATCAGGAGAAAACAAAATGAAACTCCCCTACCAATTAAAATTATTTGTAAAAAAAAAATTGGTCATGTATAAAATTGACTTACTGCCATCTGCATATACCATTTCCTCTCTCACACTGAAATTGATATTATACGTGTAGACAAATTATGTTAGGTGAATCTGTGCCAGAAAGCAAAGAGCGAAGCCCTATTTAGTTGTTGGGAAAGGTTAAATGCAAGCCCTCCCTCCTCTCCCCCACCCCCAGCAAGCAGTAGGACAAACTTTAGGCTAATCTCTCCAAAGGCATTAATGTTTTTTAGCAGGAGTTTCTGCTATCATTTGTATCTTCTGCTTTTCATACTTTATTCTGTTCTTATCAGTAGAAAGTGGAAAAATTCCCTCAATTCACAAATTTGCAAGTCTTAATAAGAAATCTGTGGAGTTAGCTATAGATGAAATTCCTAGGTATGCACAAATATTTGATAATAATCCTTACCACATTAGTGCAACTTCTTATTTTTATTTCATGGTAGCTTGTTCAAGCAACTGATATTTGAAAATAGCAAAACAAGGGCCTGTTTAATTCCACTCATTTTGAATCGCAATCCAAGTAGTTTTATACAAAGACTTTGAACGTGAGGAGCTAAATCATACCCACCTATCTGTGGCTCTTTTATTTGTGCGCCGTAGCATCAATAAAGACAAAAATAAAAAATGAGTTATTTTTTAGAGCGTAAGTGAGGAATCTTATAGTTTCTCATTTTGGGATTATGCTCTCATCAACTTCCATGGCAGCCAACATTAATAGGCGATGGAAAACCCCAGGTTACCCCCACTGTTCTATAACATTTTTCTTAAAGTGGGGTTTATGTGCAGAGACACATCTTCTCATATGTTTCTTGCTACTATTCTGGAAAAGGGAGTTTAAGATTTCTTCCTGGCAGCTTGCCAACTAGCAGTTTGGCGGTCTTTTGATGAATGATATAAAATGATATCACTCGGATAGTGGTACTACTCGTTAAGGGTGGAGCAGAAACCTTCTTTTTCAATGCAATTTAATCCAAATACCAATTGCAGTTGGTATATGGAGGAGGTCTCATTGATGCCAATAGCATTGCTTCTGTTTAGGATTGTAGCTGAGACAGGCACAAAAGTCCCTCTTTTCCTACGTGCAATAGTATCAGTGAGAATTGTGTTCCCCCTTCCTCGTAGTCAATAGTACATAAAAAAATTAACAAGCTCTGTAATGTGAGATCTAGTGTGATTTATAGATGCATCTATGTTGAGATTATAGGATAGAAGGTGGGATAAAATAATAATATGCCCAATCTAGTCTAATCTCTGGCTGACTATGCAGCCAATCATAATAATATCGTTGGCATTGACAAAATCACCATCACTCAGTTGCAAAAGTCAGCTTTACTTGGAATAACATACATCCTATGATGAAACCTTTAATATTATTAAACAACATTTGCCTATCCTTGAGTCCTTGGGAAGGGCTCAATAGGTGAGCAAAAATGCCATTACCAGTCTAAATATCTGGATGAGTGTGCAATAATGGCATGGCTAGGAGGCTTGTTTGTAAATATTGTAGACATTACATAGATGGGCCTTTGATTTTAGTTTGGAAAGATGTTTTTATTCTTTTAGTGTGGTGCATGCTCTGTATCATTTATTTGTTAGTTATGGTAGCACATTGTGTCAGTCAGTTAAGAATTCTGAATAATAAAGGAAGTCAATAACATAGAACATAGCTTTTATATTGGCATTTGAATTCTATAGTTTAATATATAAGTTGCCTCACATTCCTTGTGACAGCTGTTAACCAGAAGATGGTTCCTTCATACACTCTGCGCCCCAGACCAGGAAATATACTTAATTGTGGGGTTATCAACTCTGGCTATGTGCCAAGATAAAACAGATTATATATTATAGTTTAACCATTTCAATAACCCCTTTGCTACACGAGCAAAACCTTAGAAAGCCATACAATATGTTATTTTTTTTAAAAAAAAATTGTAGAACATCTGATCAAGAGGCAAAGCTCTATTGACAGAAGATTGGCTGTGCTCAAGTCAACTTCTTTTGCCCTTAGCTTCTCAAAGAATCCCATCAAGTTCTTATAGTATTGTTCCATACAATACTATGGAACAGAGTTTGAAAAAACATTTTTGTAAGATGTTTACCTCTTAATTCATATGCGGAATCCCAAGTTGTATCCTGCATATATGTGCTCTAATCAACTCTGTGTTCTCGGTGAATTCACTGTGTTATCTCTAGATCCGGGGGGGGGTTAAAATGCCAGCCCACAGGCCTATTCCATCATGCAGAGGCCGCGCCCACCCCAGCTCCAGCAATGCGAAAAAAGTCATGACAGGTTATGACATGTCATGTGATGCAGCGAGTTTGACACCCGTACTCTAGATTTACAGCTTAAATGAATGTAAAATAATCACTAGCTTTAAACACAAATGCTGTAATTAAAAACAGCAGTTGGAGGTAAAACCACTTTTATTAAACATAACACTTTCTAAGTGAGGTTGTGGAAGAACTTGATGACTAAATCAAAGTGTCTGAAATATGGTAGCAAAAAACAATTTCTTGCAATGTTCTGCAAAGGTATTCAACTAGTATATGACATAGTACAGTATAAAAATCACAGGATATATGATGTTATTAGAGAAGAAAATTTCAGCACTTTCCATAAAGTCTTAAAATATGGTTGACTTCATATACCTGTCTATATAGCTTTCTTGCAATAATAAGGAAGTGGGTTTGCCATTTTTAGAATTTTTATTTCAAAATTATGTTAATAGTAATCTTTGATATAGTAAATTAGTGTATAGCCTCCCTTTAAGATATATTACTTTTTCATCTTATTTGGAACCAATAAAGGGATTGTTGCTTTCCTCTACAGGATAGCCCTTTATTTTCTTATATAGATGTAAGTACATCTATATAGAATTGAATGAAATAAATTATATAAAAAGACACAGGGTTTTAAAACAGTGCTTTATTGAACAAATCATTGTTGTTCAAATATAACAAGCCATAAATAATAGAAACCATAGGAAATAGATCCATAGCTGAAGTGATATTCAGTCTAAATTCAGACACACAAAATTTAAATGCATGTACAAAAAACGTTTACAGTGTTAAAGGTGAAATGCAATACAAAAAGGAGACAGTGTAATCCCGTGTTACTGAAATGTTCTAGCCCATAGCTACGAAACCATTTTTAATTGGCTTTGAGGCTTATTTCTATACTTTAAATGTTCCAGCCAAATCCTGAACATAGGTCACCTTATAAAGTATATGATAAAATGTTGGTGTCATTTTTGTGGAAAGCTCCAATACACACACTGTCTTTGTGACAAGCTTCTGATACTGAAATACTACCATATAACTTCAATATGTCTTTGTATTAGAGTGGTGATTTAAAATACTGAAAGGGTGGGATATATACTATTTTGTCATAATAAAATTTATTTATTGAATAAGTAATTCTTCAGAAATAAGTTGACAATTTAGAAAATCCACACAATTAAATCATATGAACTGCTTAAATCAGCAGTACCAGGCAACAGATCTTAATATAATTTGATGTTTGGTATTTCTCTTTACTAGTGCCTAGTATTTTAGAATTGAAACATATATAATTATTTTATGATTTTTAAGTTCTGATTGCATGCTGGTAGAATTTTGGCGTACATAAAAAACGATCCCTACTTCTTATTTAATATTGACATGTGTATAATTATATAAAATATGCATGTGTGATGTGTCATTGGATTGTTACAGTCTTAAAATATTTTGTGTTCTGAGGCTTACAATTTGTATATACACAATAGTGTGCATATACACATAAATATACATGCAAGCATGCACACTGTAAGTGTATATATGTATATATTATGTTCGTGAAGTTAAATATTGCATGGAACACTTGTAGACAGATTAATTGCTTGTAAGTAACTCTCCACAGATTGGAAAAATAGCTCTTCCAAAATACAAGTTGCTTTTGCTCTTTCTCATATTCCATCCTCAAACTGAAGACATACTTTCCATATTGTTAAGGTGGGGGTGTGGGAAAACAACTATTGCAATATTTGGCATCTTGTTTTAATGCTGATTTTACTTTTATTTGTTTTCCTTAAAGAAAAAATGTGTCATGACCAAATGAAATGACATTGTTATGAACATGGATTTTAGGCGCTATTGGGAAAGAATCCAGTATTTAAATGTTTAAATAGGCTTATTCATACTTTTATTTTTGGAATTGTAAAAAAATACTGTTTTCTTGGGTATCAAAATACTCTGGAGCTTAAAGCCAAGAAAATTCTGAATATGATAAATGCTGAAATAAGTTTGCTTTGTTTATATGTTCAGACTCTTGCTTGATTTATTGATTCTGCTAATAGTGTCAAAATAGCAAAGGCTTTGGGTTTTATTATTCTGGGTTGGTTTTTTTTTGAGGGGTGGGAGGAGAATGAGATGTTACTATTGTCTTGCATTAAGCATCTTTCTCCTTTTGTCAGATGTAGGGGGAGAAATGCAAAACTTGTTTCAGTTTAACTGTTTTAACCATGCAACAATGATCAGTATAGCATCCCATAACTAATGCCGACCCCTCCCACTTTCCCAAGCAACATTCACTGTGCATTTAAAAGGTTTTTGTGGTTTAAATGTTGTTACATATTTTACAGCATTAGGATCTATGGAATATTTTGACAACTGCAACAGTTCAATGAAGTTGGTAATTTCTTCTTTTAATTATTTTTCATTGAACAGATTTGGAGTTACACTTTTTTTTTAAAGAAAAGTTTGTTTTTCTAATGCTTTTCAACACATTGCATAATCTTTTAGCATATTAAATAGCCTTTGACTCTATGGGTAGCAGCATTTTAATTTGATTGATGTTGACACAATAGTATGGTATTCTTTCAGCTGGTGATCATACGTGAATGACTGTACATCACTAGATGAGCTGGTGCTTGTGGCTTCACGGATTGTCTGCAAGGTCCTAATCCACAGTAGAATGGGAAATGAGGCTGGCTTTATACATTTCATTGAGTAGAATGCTGGTACATACAGGCTTCCAGGTTTTTCCCCCCTTAAACTAACATTGTAAAAGTAATGTTTCATGTTTCGTTAAACTGAGGCCTTTAAATTTGAATTTGTTTGCTTTTAAAAATTGTAATTCCAGTAAATACTTGTTTAAATGTCTAGCAGCTTAAACATTAGGGATACAGATAAAACTGCCAGAATATTCTTATAATAATCAATGAAGTTTGTTGCTGTATCCCCGTAATCTCATTTAAAAAAAAAACCCCACATCTGCCTTGTTCAGTCTCATCTCTATAGAACCTTTGAGCTACGATTTCATATTACTTATTTTTGAAATTTTGGATTTGGAAACGTAAATGTTTCTGAAATTAAATACCAAATGTAGAAAAAAAAATCACACATGCTGTTTAGGGTATATTTTTACTTGAAGGAGTATCCTCTTCAGTATCCAAATGCAAATGTAACAAGATTTTGATCCTCTGACCTCAGTATAGGCATTTAAGCCCTTTCCTATTTTGTATTAAAAGAGTTGTTCCCTTCCAGCATATATTTTTATGCAAACTCTTTGTTTCAGTCAAGGTTCATTAATACACAAGCATGCTTATGTGCACACAATTTTAAACTTTACACATTTACTATAGCAATAATCAGTTTGTAGTGTTTTCTAAACCCAATCCCTTGAATTTAAGAGCAGCATTATGTTTAGCTCAGTCTCTCTCTGGTACCAAACTGGGAGTCAGTAAATATTCATAACTTTGTGATATTCTTTCTACCCTTATGGGTTCAGTTTAGCTAACTATAAAAACCCAGCATTTTTGTTATCCCAGTTTGTTAACACTGATGGCTGAAATATAAAGATATTAATGGGAAGTTTTTTAAAATGTGAGAAGCATACACATGCAGAAGCTCAGCACATTTAGACATAACCAATCTTTATTTTAATGCAGTTGTCTTTTTATTAGTTCTACCTAGCATTTAAAATTGTTCTATCTTGCATTTAAAAGCTACCTCCACAAAACAGTATTAACAGTATTAATTATAAATAGCTTGTAATTCAGCAAAAAATTTAAAAACTCATGGAAAATTAATGGATTCGCTGACTACATTTCAAATAAAACTAAGTTCAGCTCTATTGTTTTATATTGGTAACATTTTTAACAGGCAATGTTAAAGTATTGTAATGCTTTGTATAACAATTGAGTAATCTAACTCTAGGTATATAGACTAACAAATAAAACTCTAGTCTAGTAATACATAATAGCATTTAAGTAGCAATAGAACAAATTAATCTATAATTAAAGTTCCCTTGTAGTAATACATTTTGTAACTGTGTCTTCTTTCCTTTCAGCAAGGAGCAAATAATGCGGAGAAGTTTGACTATGTAAGCAAACTTTTTAATTGTTACCATTTATTTTCTGTAATTTTAAATGTTACAAAATAGAGTGTTGCTCTGTCCCATATTTTCACTTCATATCTGTTTATTAACTGAACTCAAAATCACTTGAATTGGAATTGGACTCTATTACTAATTGTAAGGAACAATTTAATTATTTTATATTTAAAACATATTATATTAAATATACTTTATATTTATAAATTATAATGTAGCAACTCTGGAGGCAAGCCTTACTCATTTTTTACAAGTGTTTTCTCTTCTGTAAAATTTAGAAGCATTTGCTTTCCAGTTTTAAATTAATTGCAGAATGTCATTGAATTTGAACTAGACTAAAATTTATGTAGCATTTTAAGTGAAGTTAAGATAAAAATATTAATTTCTAATTTAAATTAACTATAATTTTATTTTAGACATAGCAGTAAATAGTAATTTATATTAAAGCAAAAACTGTCTTCATTCTTTCTCATGGAATAGATTTGTTCTTACAGAATGACAGCATTGCTTGATATCTAAACCTAACTTGGTTATTTGCACTGAATACTTACTATGAAGTGCTTTTTAGTACATTCTGAAAAAATAATCATGCTTTCCTTAGGTGATGCAATTCATGAATAAAATGGCTGGAAATGAATATGTCGGTTTCAGTAATGCCACGTAAGTATGTTTCCTAGATTAATTTCAACACTATGAGCAATAGTTAATATTAATGCTGCACGTATTTTATTTTATTAATCAAGTCTTCGCTTCAGCTAAGACTTTGGGTCTAGGAGAAATATTTTCCTTTATGCTGGATTTCTGTAGAAGTACTGTACCTTATGGCACTGTCTCTTCCAAAAAACAAGAGAAAAGGGAAGAAAAAAGGAAGTTTATTGTGATTTGGCAGCTTATGACAGACTGTTTCTGTGTCGTTTGTAGGCATGATGTTATTTTGTCTGATTCAAGTAACTGACTATTGGGTTTGTTCAAAATCGTATTGGTTTCGAACAGAAAAGATATCTTGCATGATGTTTCAAATGCAGTATGGCAGGGGTCCCCAATCCCTGGTCCGGGACCTAATGCCAGGTCAGAGCTGGGCCGTGGAAGTGGTGGGCAAGTGCGTGCGCACACACAACTGCATTTGTGAAAGCAGCGTGTGCACACAAAACAACACACACTCCTGCTGCCTCCGTGTCCACCAGACCGCTGAGCCGGAAAGGTTGGGGACTGCTGCAATATGGGATTAAAAAACTAAAACATTATCGCAGTTAACTTTAAGTAGTTAGCTTCTATGGTAATCTCTGCTCTGTCCTCTGCCAAATAAAGCCGTTTCTAATGTTGAAATTGTCTGACAATTACAATTTGCTGCTATCTTGTATAGCCACCACCTGCAATGTATACAGTTTAGAAACAATGAAATTTGCATTATACATCTTGGAAACTTTGAGTCAGGAATGTGGAAGTAGTTTTGACATTGTGTTCTTGATTTGCATTAGTAAAGATCTAGAGCAGGGGTGTCAAACTGCTGGCCCGCAGGCCGGATGTGTCACACGGAAGTCACCCCAGCTCCAGCAAGGAGAAAAAAGTTGCGATACGTTGTGACACATCCCAGGACACAGTGAGTTTGACACCCCTGATCTAGAGTAACAATGGAGTTACCTTTCTGACTTATATTGCATTCCTGTATTTCACTTAACATCTAAATAAGTTCTATTGCATTCTCAAGTAGTTATGACAGATATATGATCAATATTTTAATTCCATTTCTGAGATGTAATCTTATTTACAAAAAATGTTTAGTTTAATTCTTTGTAGTGAATAGACACGTCCTTTGCATTGAGCCTTATAATATGCTGCAGCATTAATTTGTTCTTTTTAATGTAAACTCCACACAATGATAGTCCGTGTCTTCCCAAACTAAATAGGTTACTAGAGTTACAACAATTTTAAATAACAAAGATCCACCAATACTATTGCTAATAAGTATTTAGTATTTGATATCCATTTCTGCCCCTTTTCTGCCTTAGATTCCAGTCTGAAAGGGAGAGTGGAGACAGAAACTTTGCAATAGGCTATTATCTCAAAGAGAAAAAGGTATGCATTTGGTTTTATTTACTCCATTTCCTTAAATGTATGTAACGTCAATTAACAAACTACAAAATAACATTTTATTTCTTCATAGTGACAGTAAAGGTAAATACAATATTACCGTATATTCCAGCGTATAAGGTGACCCGGCGTATAAGACGACCCCCGACTTCAGCGCCGAGTCGCATGCCTAGAAAGTCGTCTTATACGCCAGAAACTACCGTTATTTCTGGCATATAAGACAACTCGGCGTATAAGACAACCCCCGACTTCGGCGCCGATTTTAACACTTGCGAAAGTCGTCTTATACACCGGAAAGTACAGTAATATAAATGTAGTTATTCTTCCATTTTGGTCTCTGTGATTTACACAAATGGCTGGATGCATCTTAGAAAGCCGCATGCGGAACAGAACCATTTGATGTGTATACCACTTCTTGTATATCATGTTACTTAGCATGCCTTGTACTGAACTCTTCTGTTTGTTTTCAACCAATATGCTTCCCAATCTTTCTGGATCTGCATCGAGTTGTTTTTGCACTTGGTTGCAGGTTCTCTATATTCAGCATTATGATTTTTAGCACCCTCTTTCTAAAGGCCAGTGCTGATTGAGCAAGCTTTTCCTTTCAGATGGACATACATTGTGTTCTTTTGCTGCAGCAAATATCTCTTGTTTTGGATATTCCTTCAAGAGAGATCTTGCATCCCAAGGATAGTATTTGCCCAGTTTTGGAAAAATGAGAATTTACCATCTGACCAGACTATTATTACCAAAATTTTAGAGTGTGCAGAAATGGATAGACTAACATTAGAAATGAAAGAAAAAGATGATTCAATTTATTTTAGAACTTGGGAAAAAATTTATCAATGGTTAGAGACACATTAGAACTTGAAAGATTCAATATTTTAGAATAGATGACTGATTTTTAATCGAGGTCTAACTAACATTTTGATGATATGATTACTTTTCCTGATTTACTGACTTTCATTTGTTACTTTTGATTGTTAGGATTTTTTTTTGGAGATTTTATTAGTAGTGTTTGCTTAATAGATTAACGTATTTGTTTACTGATTTTTTTAATATGTTACAGTTTAAGCTTTGCTAAAAATGGTTGAATATGATATTCACTCATTATTATGATCCGGACAGTAGCTTGTTTCTTGAAATATGTGATTGTATCTATTCTTATTTTACCCTAATTCCTTATTTCCTTCCCCTCCCCCTTTCCTTCCACCCCTCCCTTTACCATACCTATATTGTTCCTATTTTTCCTCATCTATATAAACTTAATAAAATTTTATTAAAAGAGAGAGAGAGAGAGAGAGAGAGAGAGAGAGAGAGAGAGAGATCTTGCATCCAAAGTGTAGTCTGACTCACTACTGTACCTCTGAATCATAATCTGAATCAGATGCAAACCTAAGTATACAATTAAATAGATGACCTCTTTTAAAAAAACTCACAATTACAAGCAAGCAATTTACCATATATCTACAAAGAGAAATCTATGGGTGATGCTTTTTAATATGCATGCATGAAACAAAAGATGGATATTCCCATTAGCTTCAGAGATATAATTACTGAAATCCTTGTAACACTACCCATTATATTAATAGTAGTTAATGTAATATTATTTTAAATTTAACACAATGGTATTATGTTCTCATTAGATATTTTAGTCCCATTTGAGAAGTAGTGTGTGTTTGGGGGGGGGGGGGAGATCATCTTATTCATCTTACTTACTTCTCTGTCTGGTTTTAATGACAGAAGAAATAGGAATGGAAAAGATGGAAAAGAAATGTATCTTCATATTATAATCACTCCCACTTCTGTGGCCAAAAGCATGTAATAATCTTTTGCTAAAGTACCTGTCAGAAGAACACATTTGATGGTTTTGTAATAGAGCTAAAATATTTTCCTTCAAATTTTCACAGAAAGGTAGACTTAAACATCTGGAAGTCCTATTTCTAAATAATTATTATTTTAAGTCTTATTTTAATTCTAAATAATTCTTTGTTTCTTAGATAATCCTCAACTGAATTTTCAGAACTAAGATTTTCTTCTCTTTTTTATCAGTTTTAGTTTATATATGATAATTTTTACTACAGTATCATGATGTACTAAAATATTCTATTATTTTCAAGTGTTTTCCAGAGGGCACAGATATGGTTGGCATATTGGACTTCTATTTCCAGGTAGCTAATTAATCTCTAGAATACTTGTTATTCTTTGTTATATAGAATTACAGGTTAAAATTTTATTTATATAAATATTTTCATAGCAGAGGATCTAATCCTTTGTTGGGGCAAGTATGTTAACTAAATGATATTCCAATTGAATATATTTTAATAAATCAGCATTTCTCATTGTCTGATCTTAATGCAAATTAATAGTTGATAGCAATCCTTGACCTTAGAATTATATATTTTTGTAGTGATCATGAAATATGTTTTGCAGCCAGTTTTGTAGTACTGTATGGAGAAGAAATAGTTAATCATATCCTTAGTGCTTTCATACTGGTTAGGTTAACTAAAACATACTTTCTTATCACTAATCTTTTTACTGATTAAAATATGAGTTTTTTCCCCATTCCTTAAATTTAACATAAGACAGCTTTGAATTTTACACACTAGTAAATAATATAAATTGTCCTGGTTCTGTCACATGATTGTTTAGTACGTTCATCTCTGCAGTAACAGGATCATGTAGTTTTTAAATGTTTCTTTTAAAAATGTCAGCCTTTCATCAGAACAAGCTTCACTATTGCACTGTTAGAGAACAAGTTTTTTAAAAAATCTCACCCAGTTGTTTTATGAGTTAATCTTGTACCATGATAATCACTTTCATTTCATGCTTAACTCAAATAGGCCTTTATTTCCTAATCTGGAAATAGTCTATCTTCATATGCTGTATTGTTCATAGGGTAATAGACTCTTTATGGGTTCAGGCTCCTTTTTGTAAGATAGTCCTTTCATCCATTTACTTACACAGCCTTCTTTTTGCATAGGTTGATCAATGTTTTCTTGTTTTTGTCTTTGTTTTCCCTAAGCTGTGCTCCATAGAAGTGACTTGTGAATCTGCGAGTGTCATGGCAGCCACCCTTGCCAATGGTGGGTTTTGCCCCATCACTGGTGAGAGAGTCCTGAGTCCAGAAGCAGTTCGTAATACTCTAAGTTTGATGCATTCGTGTGGCATGTATGACTTCTCGGGACAGTTTGCCTTCCATGTAAGTGTTTGTTTAGAGGCATCTATTATAAAAAATGTCTAGTTAGTCTTTTAAAAAAAGAATTAACTTTTTAATTAGCAAATTTACCATGGGTGGTAAAAAAGCATTCCATGTCATATAGACTAGTTAGAATACATAGAACTAGTTAGGAAGACAGAAATGAATCCAGAAAAACAAGGTATTTTGAGGTCTGAACCAAATAATCCCTGGGATGTAAATTTACACTAATCGATACTTTTTGGAAAAATATTGTTACTTTGACAGATGATATGGATATTCAGTGAATGCTATCTAAGTATTGATAAGTATATATTAACAGTTTAAATTATGCATTCATTTAGGTGGGTCTTCCTGCAAAATCTGGAGTTGCTGGTGGTATTCTCTTGGTTGTTCCTAACGTTATGGGCATGATGTGCTGGTCACCTCCACTAGACAAGATGGGCAACAGTGTTAAGGGCATACACTTTTGTCACGTAAGCAAGTCTTCTTACTTGAATTGTTAGTAGTCTGTAGCAGAAGTACAATAATCATTAACATTTACACCTGTCTCAGTGAAAGTGGGGAAATTTGCATTTATCTTGAGCTTATGCTTATGTTTTCACTGTTAGAATCAAAGCAGATAAAGATTGAAGATTTTTAAAGCAAAAGGATGGATAATTAGTACCCCAACAAGCTATACACTAAGCAAAGATAAAAAGATGTATTTTGAAAGTGGAAGAAATGTTGACAAAATGCATGTATTTCTTTTCAGTCCTGCTTGCCAAAATAATTTTTTTTCTTTTTGTTCCCCTAAATTTATAAGTCACTTAATATTCATCTTGACAAAGGACTTTACTTATGAGTTACAGTATGTGTAATCAGTAATATCAGAGTGTAGCTGAATGAAACATAGTCAGTTGTAAATTATGGTGGTATACATGAGTATAAATATAACACAATGATGTTTTCACTATTGCAGGAACTGGTTTCTTTGTGCAACTTTCATAATTATGATAACCTGAGGCATTTTGCAAAGAAGCTTGATCCTCGGAGGGAAGGTGGTGATCAACGAGTAAGTTGGAAGTATTTTATAAAATTAATGTGTAACATGTATATTGTGCATAGCAACTTCCAAATAGGATTGGTCAATGACATGTATTATATCAATACTCTGAGTTGTGAGTGTCCAGATACAATTCAGACAACATCTGTCACATCTAAAATTTACTACTAAATGCTATATTACATTAATCATTGGCTTTTACTGGTTACAGGTAGTCCTCAACTTACTAACCATAATTGAGCCCAGAATTATAGTCGTAAGTCATACCAGTCGTTAAGTGGATTACTGTGTGACTGCACCCAGTTTTACAACCTGTTTTTGTGGCAGTTGTTAAATAAAAGCCAAAACCATTAAGCAGATGCTATGGCTGTTCAGTGAATCCATTGTACCTAATGGGCATTTTTTTTCTGGAAACTGGAAGTAAATGTTGGTTTCTGGCAAAAACAAAAATTGTGGTCATGTGACTGCAGAACACTACAAAGGGCCGTGAATGCAGTCATGTATCCTCAGGGGAAGCAGTCATTGCAACTTTGAAACATAGTCGTAAATAGGGTTTGGGGAGATCTGCTATAGCTTCAAATGTTAGTTAAGGGCTACCTAGTAATAATGTGACATTTGACTGAAAGTTAGTTGAGTTTGGTTAGATAATTGGTATTATATAACATACCTGAGCCTAGTATATTTAGACTACCTCAAACAAATTTGAGAACTGTTCATGTATCCTTTCCAGATGGACTTAAAACCATCCTAGATAAAATGCCATGATGCAAAGCTAGCATATTCAGCAGTATATTTTCACTTCATAAAAATTACGGGACAAAGTTCTTTTTGTTACAGATTTTGATCTTACAAGAAAAATAAATTGTATATAATACAGATGACTTTTATTTTGGTAACATGTTTGATCCACATATTAGTGAGAAAATATCTCTAGTATTGTTCTTGGCTCTCAGAGTTAGCAGTGGGTAATCTCTTGCTTGTTGCTGAGAGACATAATAGGGAAAAAAAAGGATGCATCCTAGCCAACGTTTTTTTAAAAATTTTATTGCCTGAGATACAGAGCTTTGTCTTACTTTTCAAACATGTCAGTCATCTTACTGTTCTGACCATGGCTCTGATCTTACTGGGAAGAAATCTGTTTTTCAATGGCATTAATACCATTCAAAATACAGAAATAGTCATTACTTTGAGTTTGGAATTCCATTTGCACTGTAGCATGTGTAAGTTCATAGACAATTTTTGTGTTTTGGCCCTTGGTTTGAGGTTGGGCTGGGAAAAAGAGTGGAGCTTATAATTTTGGCCCTGTGCAGTTAAAATGTTTCAGTCCATTACTCACTTTTCTAACATTTACAGCAAAGCTTGGACCTAAGTAATTATTGCCATAGCAGTCTGGAAACCATCCTGCTTAAGAGAGAAACAAGGCTGGATTGCCAAGGTTGAACTAAACCAGGAGAAGCTGGATTGTAGAAATGCTACCAGTAACTCAGTAACTAATAGAACCTCAGGAATTATAGATTAATATGAAAGTTCCTGTATGGTTAATTAACACAATCGGCATCCTGTTATGAATGACTTGGAGTCTTTCTTCCCTTCCACCAAATTAAATAAATTATGCACTGTGGTTTGAAATTGAAAAGTATGTGGCATGATAATGTCAGGTTGAGAGAGATCTCTGGGAACCAGCAAGTGCTAATTGATAAATAAAATAATGCTAGAATGTTTTATTTCATTGGTAATTTAATACATACTATATGTTGCTTAAACAATTAGCATTCCCTTGGACCACTGGACTATGAGAGTCTTCAGCACGAACTTGCATTAAAAGAGACTGTGTGGAAAAAAGTGTCACCTGAATCAAACGAGGACATCTCCACAACTGTAGTGTATAGAATGGAAGGTCGGGGAGAACAAAACTAGTGCACTGGACTCTGGTTTCAGAGAGTTTGGTTTCATTTTTAAACACGCTCCAATTTGTCTAGATTACACAGTTCCAAATATTTTAGGTTTATTATTTTGATTTCAGTGGGTTGAAAATATGCTTGAGGAAACCAAAATTGGTCTACCAATAATTTTATACTAATTGCTTTAATACTTTTTTTTCAGAAAGCAGTCTGAAACAAAACTTGACTATGTGCTATTTAAACTTGTATCATGCTTAAGGAGTGAATTGCAAAATAGGAATTTTAAAGGGTACTGTAAAAGTGAGAAATATTGCAATGCAATCAAGATGCAAACAGCATAATTGTTAACCAAGAACACGAGAGCCAAAGATATAGGAAAATTTAAGTTCTGGATCATAAGTAGATATTTCTTTTATTGTTCATATATTCTAAAAATTACTTTTTGCCTTTTTCATAAATAGTGTAAAAACGTGATCCCATTTATTCCCATTAATTTGCAGTTAATTTCAATGTAACCAAATGTAAATGAAGTTAACTGTTCATGTACTGTTTTGCAACACTGACAAAACAACTCACATTTTTTATATAGAGCATATTGGTAGATAGAAACCTATTTAAGCTTGTGTAAAAATATCAGTATGTTACTATATAAGGTAAAAAAAAGTCACGTTGGATTAGCCTGGCTGAAGAATTCTGAAAGTTGAAGTCCACAAGTCATAAAAGGGCCAAGTTTGAAGACCCCTGGGTAAGGATATGCTCAGGATCCACTGCAAAAATAAATAAATAAATAAATATTTATGTTAAATTTATATGCCGCCCATCTGTCCATGAGACAGAATTTTAATACAGTTGCTTCTGTGTTAGAAACCTATTGTGCTGTTGAAGGATAGATTTCCTCTGTAAGCCAAGCAAAGTATAAATTACTGTGTCAAATCTTAATTTCAACACAATTTGAGAGAAGAATCATAAATTCAATAGGCTAGAAAAGAGATTTTTTCCCACTTCCTAGCATTTTCTTGAAAATGCAAGGATTGCTTCTTTCCCCCCGCCCCCCATTTTTGCATCAACCAGGTATTGATGCATTTGGTCATGACAGAGTTGACCAGCTAGCTTGTCACTTGATCCTGATGTGGGCTGAGAGAAAGTGAATGGCTCAAAGTCATACAGCCTTATGTTTTCATGCCCAAGCAAGGACTAGCACTCATAATCTCCTGGTTTCCAGCCTGTGCCTTAACCACTAGACCAAACTGGATCTCAGTTGATTAGAAAACAAGTAACACTCAGTATAGATAATAGTGTGTTATATACATAATGCTGTGTTATATGAGTAAATATTCAGTATACTTATATAAGTGGTATCTAGTCTCATGCCAGGTTATTTCTATATTTCCTGACAAGGCTTTATTCAACAACATTTTCTTCTACAAATGAAAACCTCAGTATATTTACTGGCTTTTAAAAAAATTAACATGGCTATGGTATTGGTGGCTGTTCCTTATTTAGTCCATTAAATATCTTGGAAAAATGTTAGGAAGGATAATAATATTAGAATGTTCTAAGCCAGAAGTGGGGAAGCTGTGAATCCTTTAGGTGTTGCTGAATTATAACTTCAACATCCCTTACAATGGATAAATGCTGCCTTTGTAAATCAGTAACTTGGAGGTAGCAAAGTTTCCCTGTTAAGAGCATGACAGATTTGGAAAAGATGAGAAGGATCATGTAGTCCAGGTCTCTGCAGTGTGCAGTTCCAAGATCCTTGAGAGAGGGCTGTCTAACTAAGAACTCAGCCTCCATAGGCAAACCATTCCATTGTTGTACAAATCTTATTTTCAGCCATCTTCCCCTTATACTTAAATAAGAGTTGGAAGTGCAACTTCTACCTAGTCTTGATTTTTGTGGCAGTGGACCATCTTCCCTAAAGCAATCTAGAGTCCATTTCTTGCATTGTTACTTTTATTGTTCTCCTCTTAACATTGAACATCTCAGTATCTTGGAAATGTGATGCCCAGGTTTGTGCACAGTAGTTGGATTGGGTTCCTACCACTGCAGAGTAGAGGAGAATAAGGATGTCATGTGTCTTGGATACAATACTTCTTCTAACGTACCCAGACCTACCTGAGTGTATGTAACAGCTTTCTCATGTTCATCCTGTTTTCAATTACCATGCCCAAGCCCTTTTTGATGGGCTTCTTCCAAGCCATGAATCTCCCATTGTGTATGTGTGCTCTGCATTTTTATTCCCCGAATATAATGGCCTACATTTTTCACTATTGAAGAGTATTTTGTTCATTTCAGCCCAGTTCTCCAGCCTCTCCAGATTTTGCAATCTCCTTCTGTCATCCTGGGTGGTGGCCAATTTATGGCATCTGCAAATTTGATCTACAAGAGGAAAGTTTGGGTCAATACCAGCACTAGAATGTGCTCTTGAAGCACTGAGGAATATAGGAAACATAACCGCAGTGCCAAGTTACGTTTAAAGAAATTATGATTTATCAATCTCTACAACTCATGCTCTTAGAAAAGTATATTACAATGATTGCAATGTTCAGATTACCATGTTATTGGATTGGAAGTGATCCAGACAGATTGATAAAAGTGAAGCTGATCTGATTGGTTGATTTTGAATGGTATCTTCACACTAGTGTAATTTTTGCAGAAAACTGCTTTTAAACAGAATCAAACTTATACTGACATATTGCTGCCCCAATAAGATTTTTAATTTGTCACTTTTGTACTTTGGCTATGGTAAAATAATCTGTGAGTCCTTATTTTAAAAGGCATGGTAATTGGCGGGTGGGTGTGTTTTTAGTATCAAATCATCAAAATGTTATTTATGGTCCAAGGCCAAAACCAGGAAAAAATTAGTACTGTATATGCCGGCGTACAAGGCGACCCGGCGTATAAGATGACCCCCGTCTTTGGCACCAATTTTAGCGCTTGCGGAAGTTGCCTTATACGCCGGCATATACGGTAATACAATATGAGGGAGTTTTAAAAAGTGAAAAAATACTAAAATAGTCAAGAATTAATAAAATGTGGACATTTACTTTAGACTAAGATGAGCAAATGATTGGGCCATCTGATGTTACTAAAATTCTGCTCTCATAG